ATGCGAGCAGGCGCTATGTGAGCACACGATGTGAGCACACACTATGCGAGCACACGCTATGTGAGCTCACACTATGCGAGCACACACTATGCGAGCACACGCTATGTGAGTACACACTATGTGAGCACAAGCTATGTGAGTACACGCTATGTGAGCACACACTATGTGAGCACACACTATGCGAGCACACGCTATGTGAGCACATGCTATGCAAGCACATGCTATGTGAGCACACAATGTGAGCACACGCTATGAGAGCACACGCTATGTGAGCACACGATGTGAGCACATGCTATGTGAGCACACACTATGTGAGCACACACTATGTGAGCACACGGTATGCGAGCACACACTATGCGAGCACACGCTATGTGAGTACACGCTATGTGAGCACACACTATGCGAGCACACGATGTGAGCACACACTATGTGAGCACACACTATGTGAGCACACACTATGCGAGCACACGCTATGTGAGCACACGATGTGAGCACATGCTATGTGAGTACACGCTATACATGCACACAATGTGAGCACACGATGTGAGCACATGATGTAAGCACAAGCTATGCGAGCACACGCTATGTGAGTACACGCTATGTGAGTACACGCTATGTGAACACAAGCTATGTGAGTACACGCTATGTGAGCACTAGCTATGCAAGCACATGCTATGTGAGTACACGCTATGCGAGCACATGCTATGTGAGTACACGCTATGCGAGCACATGCTATGTGAGTACACGCTATGCGAGCACATGCTATGTGAGCACACACTATGCGAGCACACACTATGTGAGCACACGCTATGTGAGCACACACTATGTGAGCACATGATGTGAGCACACACTATGTGAGCACACACTATGCGAGCACACGCTATGTGAGCACACGATGTGAGCACACACTATGCGATCACACACTGTGTGAGCACACGATGTGAGCACATGCTATGTGAGTACACGCTATACATGCACACAATGTGAGCACACGATGTGAGCACATGATGTAAGCACAAGCTATGCGAGCACACGCTATGTGAGTACACGCTATGTGAGTACACGCTATGTGAACACAAGCTATGTGAGTACACGCACTAGCTATGCGAGCACATGCTATGTGAGTACACGCTATGTGAGCACAAGCTATGTGAGCACACACTATGTGAGTACACGCTATGTGAGTACATGCTATGTGAGCACAAGCTATGCGAGCACATGCTATGTGAGTATATGCTATGTGAGCACAAGCTATGTGAGCACACGCTATGCGAGCACATGCTATGTGAGTACACGCTATGTGAGCACAAGCTATGTGAGCACAAGCTATGCGAGCACATGCTATGTGAGCACACGCTATGTGAGCACAAGCTATGTGAGCACACGCTATGCGAGCACATGCAGTGGGTCCCTGTTGGGTTCAGAATGGGGAGACGGCCTGGACAGTGCCTCGCACTGAATACACCCAGGTCTGAGGGCTCCCACGTCCTGGTCTTAACCTCTGTCGTCCTTCCCCTTCCGGCCACAGTGCCTGCCACCAAAGGCCAGCAGATGGGGGGCTCCTGGAAAGGAGGGGTGGCCTGTCCAAGGCCTTGTGGCTTTGACACCCCATGACAACGTGTCCTTCCTGCCAGGCCTGTGGGCTGGTGAGGGAGAGGTGTCACTAGGCTGTCGCCGGGCACTTCCCTACCTGGGCATCCTTCCGTGAGAACTGGGCGATCTGCCTCTGGTTTTCTGCCGTGTCTGTGCCCAGCAGAAGGGACCTGGGGCCCTTGTGCCCTGTGCCCTCTTCCAGCATGGGGGTGAAGGAGTAGGGGTTTCGAAGATGGAGCCGCAGCCCGTGTTTCTGCAGGACACAAAGAGCATAGGCCACGTGTTAGAGGACCTGTGGTCTCCACTGTCCGTGCGACCGTCTAGGTGTCTGAGTGCACACCAGCTCTGTGGGCCTGGCCTATTTTTTAATAAGTTTATAAAAATCCATCTTGCCCAGGGACCAGTAATAGATCATACTGGTTCAGTGCCACACCACGGCACACCACGCCATACCACGCCATGCCATACCACACCACATCACACCATGCTTACTCCACACCAGGGCCTGGTCTGTGGTTTACAGTGGTTTCTTGCAACAGCTCTGTAAGCATCATCACCCCTTTTGTACCAGTGTAACAACGGAGGCTCGGGGAGTTTGATAACTCGTCCCAAGTCACTTCGGGAGGTGGGGCTGGGTTTCAAAGCCACTTCATTGTGACTCCCAAGCCCTGGCTCTCAGCACAGTCTATAACTGCCCCACTTCAGAAATAAATAATTAAACCTTAGAAAGACCCAATAAAGCAACGGTTATGTGAAAATCCATACTTACAAGGTAGATAAATTATTCACATCAAAAAAAATTGTATTTACTTTACAGACTCATTTACTCCAGAGTCACTTTCAATGGAAGTCCCCTTGACACGTTTAAAATATGATGTGATTTACAAATATTTGGCCAGAACACAGAACTTCCCAAGAGCACATCTACTTCTTTAAAGGAGACACAGAGAGCAGATGGCATAATGGTTACGTTGCTGGACTCCCACATAGTTGACTGTGGTTCGAGTCCTGGACCCAGCAGATTAAAACAAATGCCAGGCATGTGTGCGTGCATGCCCAAAATCCCAAGAAGAGAATGGAGGAGAAAGGATGACGGCATGGCCATCCCCCCTTGGAGGTGACTTCTCACTTTCTGTCTCTCTGTCTCTCTGTCGAGCACACACGCCCTTTAGCAAAATCTCTCTCAAAAAAAGAAAAAAAATCAAAGGGGCACAGCGAAACTGGTGGTCTGTGCTACTTCCACGAAGCAGTGCGGGGTCAGACGTGGAGCAGACTTACTGTCCCGCTGTCTAGGGACATCTGATGACCCCATCAGCAGAGAGACCACTCCAGCACTGCCTTTCTCCAAACCCTGCTTCGTTTTCCTCCAAAACACGTATCCCCACATGGCTAATTAGATACTCAGCTCCGTCCACCTCCCACCGTAGAATGTAAACTCTGAGGTCAGGGTCCATGTTGCCCACTGCTGACCCGCAGTGCGATCAGTAAGTCTTCCGTGGAAGATCGAAGGATTGCTACGTCACAGACAAGGCGTGGCCCCAGAGGACTGAGTCGATGAGCGGAACTTTCAGGGAAGCACAGTGACACTGATATCAGAAGACTACGTCAGAAGCATTCAGGCGGGCGGGACCCTGCAGCCCTGAGTGTCCCGTGGAGGCAACTCTAGCCTCGGCAGGGGTTTGGGCTGGTGGCCGGCCAGGGACCTTTCAAAACTAAGATGGAGAAATCTCTGACTCTGAGTGGGAGGCACCTCCAACATGGTCTTCTGGATACGGGGAGCTCTGGCAGCCTGCGGACTTCCTAGCTCGCTCTGACCCTTACCCTCGCTCCCACCCACTGCAGCTCATGGCAACTCATGCTGCAGAAGGCGGCCACTTCCCTCCATGTCTGCTGCCCCTCATCCTGAGCTGCCACCACCCGCACGAGCCAGCAGGCAGACTGATCTTTAGAAATGTTGTGAATCTCATCCCTCCGCCTCCCAATTAATCGCAACACGCTTCCCACTCCGTGGGGATAAAGTGCAGCTCCTTCCTCAGGCCTGCCAGGCCCTCCCATCCCCTCTGCTGCTCCCTGCCCCTGCACGAGCATACAACCTTCCTCTGCTTGTGCCCCCGCGGCCTGTCCACCGCCTCTTCCCTCGGGTGGAGCCCTCTCTGTGCTGGCTAGTGACGCCTTCCCATTCAAATGTCAGCTCCTCTAGGAGGACTTCCTGGTACTGCCTAGGCTGGCACCTCCACTCTCTATCACATTGCTTTTATGTTTTCTTCCTTCCTTTCTTTTTCTTTCTCTTTCTTCTTTTTTTTTTTTTTCTCTTTCTTTTTTTTTTTTTTGCGGAGAGGTTTTGCTCTAGGGGTGTGTGCACTCGCCAGAAAGACAGAGACAGAAAGTGAGAAATCACCCCCCCGGGGGGATGGTCACACAGCAATCCCTTCTCCTCCATTCTCCTCTTGGGATCTTGGGCACGCACGCACACGCACCCGGCATGAGTTTAAGCCACCGGGTCCAGGACTGGAACTGCGGTCGACTACATGGGAGTCCAGGGATATAGCCATTACGCCATCTGCTGGTCCCAATTTTCTTCCTTTCTTTCTTTCAAGTATATTTATTTCTTTCATGAGTGAAAGGGACAGAGAGAGACAGAAAGACAGCACACCCACGAGGGCCTTGAAGCCATGATCCACTCCCCAGCTCCAGCCCCAGTGAGCCCTGGATCATGGGCACGTGTCTACCTGGCCTCGTCAGGGAGGTCTCTGCACACACACCTAGGCCGTTCCTGTGGAGGTCTCTGCACACACACCCGGGCCCTTCCCGTGGGGCCAGCTCAGAGTCACTGTGTCTGAGCGCCGGCCACGTCTGCCCCCAGACTGCTTCGTTTTCCTTCTTAGCATCGACCTCTACCCAAAGTTCTCTTGCTAAGAGCAGAACCCTTGCCTGCCATCTCCCCCAGGGCTTCTCCCAGAGCTGGCACGGAGCTAGTGCATGGGAACAGTTCCTGAGTGAATGCATCAATAATCCCCCAACAAGGAACTCGAGAGGAACTCAGAGTTATTTCAAGTTTCACTAATTGAACATGAATAATTTTTCGTCTAATTCCAGGACTTCCTGTGATAAACGCAGCCTTTGTCATCCTTGATGATTTCAAATATGTGGAGTCAGACTAAGAAGAAGAATGCTAAGTAACCGCGGGATTAGATCCAGGAGACTCGCCGGGTCCGGCAGGTCTCCTCTCAAGACACAAGCAAAACGAAGCCCTTCCCGAGTTGCCCAGGAGCTTTCTCAGCATGCACGGGGTCGGGCTGGAAATCGTGGAGAAGGATGAGAGAGGAGAGGTTGGAGGGGCATGGTTCTCAAAGTGGGGCTCCGGGGGACTCCCGTGTCAGAATGACCTGAGAATGCTGTGGAAAGGACGATCCTCCGGCCCTGCCTGAGTCGGAGCTCTGCACAGGAACTAGCACAGGCTAGTGAGGGAAGGGAGGGAGCACAGGGGGTGCCTCCGGCTCTGAGTCAAGGTGGAGGAGGGGGCTGCCAGATGATGGGGAACAATGGACTCCACAGCTGCAGAGCTCCGCCCTCCATACCCAGATCCACCACTTCACACGGAGCCACTGTGGAGGCCAACTCGCCACCTGGGCAGCCAGGACAGAGCTGAGCCAGTCCAGCCATTGCTTTGATAGCGTATGGAGAACGGGGAAGCCATGATCCACTCCCCAGCTCCAGCCCCAGTGAGCCCTGGATCATGGGCACGTGTCTACCTGGCCTCGTCAGGGAGGTCTCTGCACACACACCTAGGCCGTTCCTGTGGAGGTCTCTGCACACACACCCGGGCCCTTCCCGTGGGGCCAGCTCAGAGTCACTGTGTCTGAGCGCCGGCCACGTCTGCCCCCAGACTGCTTCGTTTTCCTTCTTAGCATCGACCTCTACCCAAAGTTCTCTTGCTAAGAGCAGAACCCTTGCCTGCCATCTCCCCCAGGGCTTCTCCCAGAGCTGGCACGGAGCTAGTGCATGGGAACAGTTCCTGAGTGAATGCATCAATAATCCCCCAACAAGGAACTCGAGAGGAACTCAGAGTTATTTCAAGTTTCACTAATTGAACATGAATAATTTTTCGTCTAATTCCAGGACTTCCTGTGATAAACGCAGCCTTTGTCATCCTTGATGATTTCAAATATGTGGAGTCAGACTAAGAAGAAGAATGCTAAGTAACCGCGGGATTAGATCCAGGAGACTCGCCGGGTCCGGCAGGTCTCCTCTCAAGACACAAGCAAAACGAAGCCCTTCCCGAGTTGCCCAGGAGCTTTCTCAGCATGCACGGGGTCGGGCTGGAAATCGTGGAGAAGGATGAGAGAGGAGAGGTTGGAGGGGCATGGTTCTCAAAGTGGGGCTCCGGGGGACTCCCGTGTCAGAATGACCTGAGAATGCTGTGGAAAGGACGATCCTCCGGCCCTGCCTGAGTCGGAGCTCTGCACAGGAACTAGCACAGGCTAGTGAGGGAAGGGAGGGAGCACAGGGGGTGCCTCCGGCTCTGAGTCAAGGTGGAGGAGGGGGCTGCCAGATGATGGGGAACAATGGACTCCACAGCTGCAGATCCCCCCCCTCCATACCCAGATCCACCACTTCACACGGAGCCACTGTGGAGGCCAACTCGCCACCTGGGCAGCCAGGACAGAGCTGAGCCAGTCCAGCCATTGCTTTGATAGCGTATGGAGACCGGGATGGGCTGGCAGGCCCGGTGAGGTCCTGCAGGGGGCCGGGTGCTCTCTGGCTCAAGGTGAGGGTAGAGGGCAGTGGCCAAGGCTCAGTCTGAGTGAGTGTGCCCTGGACATGGCAAGGTCGGAGGGGCAGGCACTGGCCACAGGTCCCTGGTAGGCTGCCTCATCTTTCTGGAGTCTGTTTTCTCAGCTGCCAAGTGGGATTAACATGAATGGCTGACGGTCTCTGAGCACTCCCTGGGCACTGGGTTCTGTGCTAATGACGCAGTCTCGCGCATGGGCACAGCAGTGTACGAGGTTCGGCTCACAGGATAAGGCTCTGGGAGAAAAGCGGTGAATGGTGGAGCAGGGATTAGAACCAGCCAGTTCAGTGCTGTAACTGTTGTCCCCCAGTGTCCCTGGGTTAGAGCTGGGGGCCGGGGGGTCTAGTCTATGACCATGTCTACTGTGTGCTGCAAAGGGCTGGAGGTCGGTGAGCCCCGAGAGTATCCGGGCACGGTGCCCGAGCAGCCCGCCAGAGCACAAGAGCAGGGAGCACTCAGCCCTTGGTTCGAATTCTCCCTCACTTTCCAGCCACTTGAGCCCAGCTCCCCGGACCTCCGTTCCCTGGTGGTAGGATGGGGACAAATGTAACATTGTCATCTCACAGGCGAGGCTCATCTGAGACAGCGCATTAAAGCTCGGAGCCCGAGACAAGACAGAGCAAGCCGCTTCATTGTCAGTTTTGGAAACAACATAGTCCAGGAAAAAGCTTTGCCCTCCAGGTGGAAGCGTCCAGACTGGCGATGTCCTGTAAAACCAAGGCTCTTCTCCAGGTAGGGCTAGTGCCATGCATCACACAGCAGTGCTGTTCTCTCCCTTGATCTAAGAGCCATTCTCCTGTTAATAAGGCCCCAGGTCAGAGGGTAAAGCATACTCTCACTTTACCTGGGAGATCCTAGTTAAGGAACACCCTGGCAAATACCATCTACAAATGAGTAGCTTTTTCTGACCATGCAGAAATCTTTATTCTGTGATCCTGAGTTATCATAAGTAAGAGTCGTCAAAAGAAGGGTCAGCTTCCCTCTGCTCGCCAGCATCTGCTCTGAATAACTAGTGCATTTACAAACCGCCTTCCGCTACAGTGTGCCAAGGACGGAAGCCAGGGACACGTTCCAGGCCTTGGCGAGACTTCGTCCCACCCTGGTACCAGCACATACTCTTCCTTGTTCTCTCAGGAGCTCAGTGAACTCTTTCTTCACTGCACTTCTGCAGAAGGGACCTCGTTCTCAGAACTCATCTCTATAAACCAACCAGAGCAGCCAAAGAGCTGTGAGCAGGGTCTGAACGGCTTATTTCAAATACGAATCAAGGTCAGAGGGGTGCCAAGGTGCGCAGCAGTGGCTTGCATGAATGACACTGAGATCCTTTGTCTGCATGGCAGGTGACACGGACACCAAGCAGGCGGAAGCTAAGTCAGCCTCCGGGACATGGTGAAGGAGGCATGATGACAAAGGCAGGGGTGTAGGACCCTGGGAGGGTGGCAGAGCTGGTAGACCTTGACCAAAGGTTCCCAGGCTAAAAGCAGTAAACAAGGGGCCGAGGAGAGTCCTCGGGGTTCCCTTAGAACAGTCCGGGAGCCGGTAGAGGTGAAAGTCTGAACCCAACCTCTTGCTCGAGCTGCCAAGAAGGACAACAGGTTCAAAGTCAACCGAGGGCAAAGGCAGGGTGCAGGCCCCAAGACAGGAAGCACGACTTCAGGTAGGGATCCTACGAGGGCCAAAAAAAAAAAAAAAGTCACCAGGAAGTGACAGGGACAGAGTTGGGAGCTCCTGGCCCTGCCAAGGCACCAGCCAAGTACCACCACGTAGAATGTGGACAAAACTCATTCTCCAAAAGAGGTCCAGTTTTTCCGTGAAATTTCCCAGTTTTGAATACCCAATCCATGTGTGGGAATGTATTGGGTTGTCAGAAAAGTCATGATGCATTTTTGCACAGAAAAACATGGGAAAATACACCAGGCTTTTCCGACCACCCAATAATGGCAAAACCACGTGGAACAGATGAGCCCTGAGACAGGAGAGAGAGAGACCTCAGGTGGGAGATGGAACTGGCCCTCCCTCCACCCACCATCCTGCCACGGGGGTCTACCTTCAGCTCCAAGTCGGTGTAAATCTGTGGTCGCAGCAGGCTGAGGAGGTAGGACGCTCTGGAGAACTTAAACCCTGGAACAGAATCGGATGAAGACCGTCAGCAGCGGGCTCCTCCCCTGCTCCCCACACCACGGGGGGCTCACCTGGGACGATCTCCTCCGTGACAGCGGCACCTCCGATCACATGGCGCCTCTCGAAGACCACCGTGTTCACCCCCAGTCTCTGCAGGTACGCGGCCTGGCGGCGGGTAGGGGACACGGGCGCTCCCTTTATCCAGGGTCACGTCTTCGTGCTGCTTGCCACCGGTGGCCCCTGCTCCTGCCTCCAGGAATGCTATTCCCTCTGCTTCTCACTGCCACTCCTGCCTGGCCCAGGTGTCTTCTCAGACCCAACATGCCTGCTCCTGCCCCTCTGCTTCCCAGCTAAAGCGGACCATCCCTCCTGGAGGCCCGGGAGCTCCCTGCACCCTGCCCACCTTGCCCGCGTGCCTCCCCTGCAGGTGGGAGCAGGCTTCATCCCCCTCAGGACACCCGAGAGACAGCGCCGGGGCTGCATGTGTTCCTGCGGAGCTGCTCCGGCTCCCCTCCTCGCCC